TGCTGATAGATGTACGTGGGCGGCAAAAATCCTCGACGGCTGGTTCTTCCTCCCGCAGGTGGGCAAAGCATGGCAAGGCATCGCCGGGATCGTCCGCCTGGCCCGGCCGCCGCTGCGCGGCGCCGTCATCGCCGAGCGCCCACCAGTCTGTGAAAAGCTTTCCCCCCCGCCCCCAAATGGTGCAGCTGCGGGGGCGCCAGGCGTGCCCCAGGAACGGTGGCGTGTTGGGGAGGAAAGCCCATGCCCTGGTGTTCCGAGAGTCTTTGTCCGTTCTCCCGGTGTCATTGCGGGAGGCGGGGGTGGGACCAGGGTCGGAGCTGCGCGACCAAACTAGGTCCGTGTCTCCGGTTTAGGAGACAGGACCACGCCCGGTGGAATCGAAGAAGTGCCTGTTTTCGCCCGATGGTCGGTAGGTAAAATTCTGCCCCCGGGGCGTGACAGCCCCGTCACTCTACACGCACCGCCGGCTGTAGGTGTGTGGCCGTAGGTCTGTGCACGCACACACCCACATGCACGTACATGCTCACGGTGCACCCCGTTTCCCGACGCCGGGGACGGCGATGTTTGCAAAATCTTACCCGGATATCCGCGGGTCTCTGTGGCTGCTTCAGCTCTCTCTGTCTGGCTCTCCATCTGTCTCTGTCTCTCTGGGTGTCTCTCTCCTTCCCCCTCTCCTCCGTCTCCCCATCCTTCCCTTTCGCTCTCTCTTTCTCCCTCCTTCCCACTCAGTCCTGTGGTCACCCTGCCACCTGCAGTCCACGTGGAGAGGAAGCCTAGACCACACACGGCTCCCCAGTGTAGCTGTTCTCGTGCCCCCATGCCAAACCTGCACGCACCGCAGCATCCCTGACTGCCAAGGAGGACTCAGTTGTACCGAGTCACGCAGGGGGAACCGAGGACGTGGGGATCTTCAAAGCCCTCGGAGAGAGAGAGACGCAGGACCGTCGTTCCCTGAGAGAAGGGACCTGCCTTGGATGTGCAAACACAGAAAGGACACGTGTTCGCAGCGTGAGCCGACACAGGATGGCCGAGCACCTGGGACCCCGGCTAGGAAGCTGTAGGCCAGGTGGCTGCAGATTTCCGCCACTCTGCAAATAACTGCAAAAGCCCCATGAGCGTTGGTGTTGAGGTTACAAACACATTTTAGTGAGTAGGAGAAGTCACCCATGCGGAACCCAAGCTCATCAGGGACCAAATATAAGAGACTTTAAGTGACCTACAGAGTCAACGCAATCCCTATTAAAATACCATCATCGTTTTTCACAGACACAGAAAAAATAGTTTTATGCTTCGTATGGAACCAGAGGAGACCCCGTATAGCAAAGGCAATCCTAGGCAATAAAAACAAAACGGGAGGTATCAATATCACAGCCTTTGAACTACACTACAAGGCTATAGTCATTAAAACAGCTTGGTACTGGCACAAGAACAGGGACATTGACCAGTGGAACAGAACAGAGAACCCAGATATAAAACCATCCTCATATAGCCAACTAATCTTTGACAAAGCACACAAAAACACACGCTGGGGAAAAGAACCCTTATTCAATAAATGGTGCTGGGAAAACTGGATAGCCACATGCAGAAGACTGAAACAGGACCCACACCTTTCACCTCTCACAAAAATCAACTCACGCTGCATAACAGACTTGAACCTCAGGTATGAAACTATTAGAATTCTAGAGGAAAATGTTGGAAATACTTTTCTAGACATCAGCCTAGGCAAAGAATTTATGAAGGAGACCTCAAAGGTAACCACAGCAACAACAAAAATAAACAAATGGGAGCCGATCAAATTAAAAAGCTTCTGCACAGCCAAGTAAACTATTATTAGAGCTAATAGACAACCTATAGAATGGGAGAAAATATTTGCATGCCATACATCCAATAAAGGGGTGATAACTAGAATCTATATAGAATTCAGGAAAATCAGCAAGAAAAAAATCAAACAACCCCATTAAGGACAAGAACAGAGACTTTTCAAAAGAAGACAGACTAATGGCCAAGAAACATACAAAAAAAAAAATGTTCAATGTCTCTAAGCATCAAGGAAATGCAAATCAAAACCAGAATGAGATATCACTTAACTCCAGTGAGAATGGCTTTTATCAAAAAGTCCCAAAACAACAAATGCCGGCGTGGATGCGGAGAGAGAGGAACACTCCTACACTGCTGGTGGGACTGCAAACTAGTGCAACCTCTGTGGAAAGTAGTGTAGAGATACCTCAAAAAGCTACAAGCAGAACTACCATTGGATCCAGCAATCCCACTACTGGGCATCTACTCAAAGGACAAAAAAGACATTGTATAAAAAAGACACCTGCACTCAAATGTAGATAGCAGCACAATTCACAATTGCAAAGATGTGGAAACAATCCAAGTGTCCATCAATCTGTGAGTGGATTAATAAAATGTGGTCTATGTACACCATGGAGTTCTACTCAGCTTTAAGAAATAACGGTGATCTAGCACCTCTTATATTACCCTGGATGGAGCTGGAGCCCATTCTACTAAGTGAAGTATCCCAAGAATGGGAAAACAAGCACCACACGGACTCACCAGCAAATTGGAACTAATCAATCAACACTTATGTGCACATATGGAAATAACATTCTTTGAGGATTGGGCAGATGAGAGGGGGGAGAAGGAAATGGGTATATGCACACCTAACACATACAATGCACACTACCTGGGGAATGGACATGCCTGCAGCTCTGAATTGGGCAGTACAAAGGCGAGCTCCTCTATGTACCAAAGCAGTTTATACTCCCTGATAGTATTCTCAAATAAAGGAGTAACATTACATAAATAAATAAGTTAAAAAGTACACAAATAAATAGAAAGTACCATTAGAAAGGTATTTCCCTCTAAATCCGATCTAGTGTAGTGGAACCCGGAAACCTACAAATCTGGAATTGCAGTTGCTCTGTGCCGCTTATTTACAATGATTTTTACTTTAATTTTATCTTAGTTATTTATCTGGTAACACTCGTGTCTCTTCCTACTAAAAGGGGCAAAGCTTTAAAGGAAGGGGATGGCCTTTTTCAATCTCTCGTGCCCTGGTGGTTCAGGTAGAGCCAGGTCTACAGCAGGTGCGCCGGACAGATTCTGTCTGAACTGAGCAAACCTCTTTTTTCTCGTTTTTCGGTCCTATCCGTGCCTGACCTTCCACGGGCGGGACTGCATTCAGGCAAACGCACACCCGTCCCCGCGACACCTGCTCGGTCTCACCTCGTATGAGTCCGTGTCCAGCCCCGAGCTGCCTGCCCCTTCATCCCGGCCTCCCAGAATGCCCTCCAATGTGAAAAAGTACGTGAAAGGCGTGTTCTTCAAAACGCGTTTTCCTCGATGGCTAAGATCGTCACCTTCGCCAAGAAAATGGGAAGGGGTCAGGACCACGTTCAGCCGGCCGGCGCCCGCTTGCTCCGATACACTTCTTTTCTGTAATAAGTCACTTCCTGCTAGGAAGTCCCCAAAAGGGACCAGAGCACGGTTACAAATGCAATCCCAAAGCGTTGGGACGTACTCAACTGTTGTTAGACCCACAGGTGCTGACCAAGGTACCACCAATACAAAAACAACGAATAGCACAAAAAGCCAATAGTCATCAATGGACATGCTAAATCTCTACATTGGGGTGGGGTGAGGTGGCTGAAATGCCTGTAATCCAGCACTCCGGGAGGCCCAGGTGGGAGGATTACTTGAGGTCAGGAAGTTTGAGACCCAGCCTGGACAACATAGCGAGATCCCATCTCTAACTAAAAATACAGAAAAATTAGCCAGGCATGGTGGAGCACCAACTGTAAGCGCCAGCTACTCGGAGGCTGAGGCCAAGGGGATCGCTTGAGGCCTGGGGTTTGGGCTTCAGAGGCTGTAATGGCGCCACCTGTTACTCTATCAGCCTGGGTGACACATGGATACCTGTCTCCAAAAAATAAAGATGAAAATGAAAAAAACGGAAGTTCGGTGCGAGCCAGGGCGACGGAGAGGAGAGGCCGCGAGTCATGCTTGGACTTACCCACGAGCCAGTCATCTCCCACGTTGTCGGTACAAGGTGGTTTTGGAAGTTTCGTGGTTGACGAGGGGAACGTGGAATGCAGCCAAGGACACGAAAGGAGAACGGCTCATGCTTATGTCTGGAAGAAGAACCTGCTTACCAGGTCAGACACACATAGAACACATAAGTGCCATCCACAGAGATACAGAAAACGTAGCCTCAAAGAACTGGAATACTATTCACATAAAAAAAGACCGAAATGCTGCATTCACAGTGGCATGGATGGAACAGGAGGATTAGGAATAAGTGAAATAAGCCAGGCAACAGAAAGACAGATTCATGTTCGCCTACATGTAAGAGCTAAAAATCAAGCTAAAAACTGTCTCACAGAGCCTAGAGTGGAAAACAGAGAACAGAGACTCACATGAAAGGTGAAGGGAAGGGAGGGAGAATGAAGAGTAGTGGGTTTAAGGGCACAAACATAACAGTAGTGAGGGAATAAATAAGGGCCAGCATGTGTGCACACCTGTAGTCCAGCACCTGGAAGGTGGAGGCAGGGAGGATCACTTAGTTCAGGTGTTGGAGGCGCAGTGAGCTATGATGATGCCACTGCACTCAGCCCAGGCTTGAAGAGTGGACTGTCTCAAAAAAACGGGGAAGAAGGACAGGAAGGAAGGAAGGAAGGAAGGAAGGAAGAAGGCAAAGGAAGGAAGGAAGAAGAAGGAGAAGAAAAGAAAGAAAGAATGAGGACTATCTTAGAAAATATTATGCAACATGTAACCTAAAAGATCTCCTCCTGCTGCAAACCCAGAAAGTTGGAATTCATAATAACTTCCTTTAGAAAAAATTCAGCTGTTTGGTAGCAGAGTTAGGAGTGACCACGCTTAGACAAATGTGTTATCCTCAGGCTGATGGACACCCCTAAATACTGGCTAGATTATGCATTATAAACTGGCCCACCAAAATTTCACATGCAGTCATAAATTTGTACAAACAAGCAATACAATCAAACTGGTCCAAAAGAAATATAAATGCCACATCTATCAGTTCCACCAACCTAGGGCGACGTGTAATGTCATCATATACACAACTATAAAAAATAGAAATAGAAAGTGCACAATGAATTGCATGCCACTCAAATCATCCCGAAGCCATCCACCCCCTCTGGTCGGTGGGACAAAATTGTCTACCATGAAAACGGTCCCTGGGCCGCCAAAAAGGTTGCGGGGCGCGGGACGCGCTGCGGTATACGGACGGACACGTGGTCTATTTCGAGGCCTGTGTGAGCCGTGACACGACATTCAATAGGAAGACGCTAGAAAGTGTGGGAAAGCCTCCCTAGAAAATGTGGGATTTCCTGAAACTCATCTCCCCCTAGGGGCGGCGTGCGGATGCCCAAGATTCCGAGACGCTCTGAGATGCTCTGAGACCTCACTCCTCTTTGGAATGTGATTTCACGGTTACCTTTGGATGTAGGGGAGACAGCTCCTTTAGCAGGAGACCCCGCCGCCCTTTCTAGAACCATGGGCTGCTCGGTCACGGTCGTGGTTCTCATCAGGATGCAATTCCAGGCCGGCACAAAGCCGAAAGCTGGCGGTACCACGACAGAAGAACAGCAGCACAGGCCGGCGGCTCCGCCACGCTTTGCGCGGGGACCCGGAGATGACCTGCAGGTGTTGGCAGGCGGCCAGGGTCAGCGCACCCCCAAGGCATGACCTGGGTGTAGCGCCCAAGCTTGGCCGCAGGCGGCGTCCAGGTGGGCGGGCCGTCGGGCACAGTCGTCTTATGAGAGTAAGGCACTGACAGAGTATCGAACCCGTGGTGCAGTGGATGGTGCAGTGATCACCCCGGGAGGCACAGCTCACGCCCTGGTGCCACTTCCCTGAAACGAAAGTAAACAGCTAAGCCAAAAAACAGTGGTGGAGGACACCTCCTGTGTTCATTGCCAGGTAACCTCTCGATCGGTTTTGGATGCTGGAATGGAAACGAAATCGCACAAAAACAGCAAAATACGAAACAGAAAAGGTGATGCATGCATTTTTTCTTTCACTTTTTAGGAGACGAGTCTTCACTCCTGTTGCCCGGTGCTAGAGTGAGTGCCGTGGCGATCAGCTCATTCACAGCCAACCTCCTCAGAGCTCCTGGGGCTCAAGCAATCCTCGCCTCAAGCCTCCCGAGGTGGCTGGGACTACAGGCACGTGTCACCACGCCCGGCTAATTTTTCTATTTGTTGTACAGATGGTGTCTCACTATGTTGCCCAGGCTGGTCTCGAACTCCTGAGCACAAATGATTCTCTCGCCTTGGCATCCCAGAGTGCTGCTGGGATTACAGGTGTGAGCCACCGCGCCCAGTCCGATGGATGTATTTGATACTAGTATAGAAACGGACACTTTCCACCCTGTGAAGACTCATGAACACAGCCGCGTGACTGATGGCTGTGGTTGACTGATTAAAGGTTGAAGGGTTTTTCGGAACATTTGTCTTACGAGCTTGCTTCCCTAGATGGTTCTGCTGTTAAATACCTTACAGAATGTCACTCACCTATAAATATAGATAAAAAGGCAGCTACCTGATATTCTACAGGTGTCTTACAGTGTCAGGCATGTTGGCACAACCAACAGTCCCGAGCTGCCCACGGAACATTCCAGTCTATTCGGGTGCCTAAGAAGACTTGCTCTGTGTCTCAGGATTAAAAATAGAAATGCAGGCCGGGCGCGGTGGCTCACGCCTGTAATCCCAGCCACTTCTGGAAGCCGAGCGGGCGGAGCTCGCTTCAAGGGCCAAGGAGTTCCGAAACAGCCTGAAGCAAGGAGCGAGCCTTCTGCTACTAAAATAGAAATTAAGATTGCACTAATATATATAGAAAAAATTAGCTGGGCAGTGTGGCAACATGGCCCTGTAGGTCCAGCTACTTGGGGAAGGCTGGAGGGAGGAGGATCGCTTGACGCCAGGAGTTGGAGGTTGCTGTGGACAGGCCTGATGCCACAGTCAATTACTTAAGCCCCTGGGCAACAGAGTGGAAGACTCTGGTCCTCAAAAAAAAAAAAAATAGAAATGCAGGTAAGCGTGTAGTGTGTACACCATCTCTGGACAAAGCCGTGGAGGGTGGGAATCTAAAATCGAGCTTTCCGAAAGGAAGCAAGGGAAATTGGTAAAAGGAGAAACGATGAACTTTTCCCCCATACAAACCCTACAACAGCCGTGGGGCCAAGCAGGGTCTTTCAGTCCCCTGAAAGAGATGGGACAGTTGGTTTGAGTGTGAAGAAAGGACCTGACCCCTTGGGCCTGAGATGGCTCTCCTTGCAAAGACCAACTTGCAGGGGTCTCCTGTGGCTGGTGTCTCAGAATGGCTCTCCAAAGAGGGAGTCCCATCAACTGCCTAGCTAAACCATATGCAAAACCAGCGTGGTTTGTGCATTACTTCTGGGGTCTAGAAGTTTGGTAGGGGCCATGCAGTGGGTGCCTATGTGACCAGCCCCCGTCACAACCCCGGGTGCTGGATCTCCAAAAAGCTTCTCTGGTCGGTAGCATTTCACATGTGTGTTGTCGAAACGCATTCCTGGAGGAATTCGGTGCATCCCGTGTGACTTGCCTGGCAGAGGCATGAGGAGGTTTCACCCGATGAACTTTTGCCCACAGCTGATGCTGGTTTTGGTCCTGAGGCTGCAATACTAATAAATCAGCCATGACTACAACCATATGCTGAGTCCTCCTAGCAAACTGTCGAGCCCGAGGGTGGACTTGGGGACCCCAGGCATGCCCTGTTTTGCAAGGAAGGACCTTCTGACCATGCCTGGACTTGCCCCGTAAAGGAAGGCAGCGTTTATCAACTTTGGGGTTTTTTGAGATGGTGGGTGACCACTTAGAGAAAGATAATCTCCAAAGAACATTCTGATACAACGGGACAAGAAGATGGACAGGTCCAGAGAAGGAAAGAGGGTGATCTCCTAGGACTCTGAAATTTTTTAAAGAAAAACTCATGCATGAGAAAAAAACCCCAAAACTGGGGACAATTTAAGAGGGATCACGTGGCCAGGCACGAATGTCAGATTCAGAGAAGGACACAGATATTTTTTTCCCATGGAGGAAGACGCGTTCTTTTGGATCACGGATCTTCCCAACTACCTGAAGACACCGGTATCGTGTGTCACCTCACCTATGAGGCCGGTCGCATAGCCTCGCTGCTGCAGGATTTTTGCAAATGTGGTTTCGTTCTCAGGCAGCCCACCCGAGCCCGCGTTCCACTGCAGGGCCCGGTACCCGTTGCTGGCCTCCATGCCTGTGAGCAGAGAAGAGAGGAAGAAGTACTGAGCTTTTGCTAGAGCCGTGGTTCCCAACCAGAGTGATTCTGCCCCTCCACAGGACGCCAGGCAATGTCTGGGAACAGTCTTGGTTTTTATAACTCGGGGAAGGTGACAGACAGGTGGGTCATGCTGGTGTCTGGTGGCTGGAGACCACGGATGATATTAATTGCTATAGTGTACAGGATGCCCCACCACAGAGAATAATCCAGCCCCAAATGTCCACAGGACCAAGTGGAGACAGTCTGCCTTACCATGAGAAACTCTATCTATCATCTGTCTATATATCATCAATCTATCCAACCATCCATCTATTCCATCCATCCATCCATCCATTCCATCCATCGATCCATCCATCCCACAGTCCATCTATATACTCATCCATCCATCTATCCATCCATCCATCTATCCATCCATCCATCCATCCATCCATCCATCCATGTATCTATCCATCCATCCATCCATCTATCTATCCATGCACCCATCCATCTAGTCCATCCATCCATCCATATATCTCATCTATCTCCCTATCTATCCATCCACCCATCCATCTAGTCCATCCATCCATCCATGTATCTATCCATCCATCCATCTATCCAATCATCCATCCACCCATCCATCTAGTCCATCCATCCATCTATCCATCCATCCATCTATCCATCTATACAGCCATCCATCCATCCATCCATAGAGTCCATCTATCCATCCATCCATCTAGTCCATCCATCCAACCATCCATCTATCCATCCATCCATGTATCTCATCTATCTCCCTATCTATCCATCCATCCATCCATCTATCCATCTATACACCCATCCATCCAGTCCATCTATCCATCCAACCATCCATCCAGTCTATCTATCCATCCATCCATCCATCCATCCATCCATCCATCCATCCATCCATCCATGTATCTCATCTATCTCCCTATCTATCCATCCATCCACCCATCTCATCTATCTGCCATCTATCATTATTTTTAGAGGTTCCCTGCATTCCTTGGTTCGTGACTCCTTCCTGGCACCATGTCAAACTCTCACTTCTGTGCTCACGTGCCCTTCCCACATTATGACCCTCCAGCCTCAGTCTTAGAAGGACCTCCAGCATTATATCTGACCCATCTGGATAAGCAGATGGGTCATCCAGAAAAATCTCTCCATCCATCTCAAGATGGTCATGTTAGTCACATTCGCAAAGTCCCTTTTCCCACCGAAGGTCCCACAGTCAAGAGGTTCCAGTCATTAGGAGGTGGATGTCTTTGGGGGGCATTTTGTCAGCCTGCCGCACCCACCCAGAGCCCGTCTGAACTTAGGGCTTCACCTCGGTATCCACTCAAATATTCAAGCAGAGAAGCAACATGCCAAAGACAACTGGAGTCCCAGTCTTGCGAGTTCCCAATCATCACCACCGTTGCATGTCTGCATACACCGCAACGTTCTCTACGTAAATCCAAGGAAGGTGACAGGGCTGCAGGTTATCTCCTTACCACTTTTCCTCTGTGTCTCAACCACCGGGAACCAACCGTCGGGGGACAGCAAAGTGAATGGCCACGGACGTGGCGTTTTCCCTGGCGTGCCCGGAGCACCCACCTGATCTGAAGGAGTGCCTCCCCGTGAGGAAGGCTGCGCGGCTCGGCGTGCAGAGCGGGGCGGCTGCCAGGTGCTGGGTGAGCCTCACGCCTTCCTCTGCCAGGCGGTCGATGTTCGGGGTCCTGAGCCAACCACACACATGCCACCGTCAGAAAGGAGGCGCGCGCTCAACGCGAGCAGACCCCCGAGCTTAAAGGCACGGGAACACACTGCGCCTGTCTTACCACGGGGGCTTCGCGGCAGTGTTTACTCATGCTTTAAGAATAACGGTGATCTAGCACCTCTTGTGGTTATCCTGGATGGAGCTGGAGCCCATTCTACTAAGTGAAGGTATCCCAAGAATGGGAAAACAAGCACCCCACGGACTCACCAGCAAATTGGACACGTAATCGGATCAACACTTATGTGCACGTATGGAAATAACATTCTTTGAGGATTGGGCAGATGAGAGGGGGGAGAAGGAAATTCGTATATGCACACCTACACATACAATGCACACTACCTGGGGAATGGACATGCCTGCAGCTCTGAATTGGGCAGTACAAAGGCAGTTTATGTACCCAAAGCATTTATACTCCCCCTAATATTCTCAAATAAAAATACATAAATAAATAATTTAAAAAGTTAAAAAAACAAATAAATAGAAAGTACCATTAGAAAGGTATTTCCCTCTAAATCCGATTCCGTAGTGAGTGGAACACGGAAACCTACAAATCTGGAATTGCAGTCGCTCTGTGCTGCTTATTTACAACGATTTTTGCACTTTAATTGTTGATCTTTTAGTCCTC